TAGCTGAGGCACTGTTTGATTTGTGGATTTTTATTGTTCTATTTATTATTAGCCTGTTAATGAAAGCGCTCATTATATTTTATGGAAGTGTTGTGCCCCTATTGCGCTGGTGCTCTGTTTGCAATAATAGAGCGGCACTGATCCAGCTTTTTTAGTGCTAGTCCCGTCATCAGTACTTTGACTTTAAGCATTTGTCAATACTTGATTTTAACCAATACTAGTGTAGGGGAGAAAAATGGCCTTTTGCCCCTCCAAAAAGTTTACTTATTACACCAGAGATCCAATTGTGTTATGCAACTGTTCTTTATCTCTGAAATGACTACTGAACAACTTTGTATGGACAATAAAAGTTCAAACATTATGAGACGTTTTGAGACGGATATTATCCTCTTAATGCCTGAATTTAGTGTATATAAAAATGTTTTGTGTGTGTTTTTGCCTTCATGTAGATGGTAAAGATGAGATTATTAATTTGACAGTAGCAAAAATAAATAAATAAATAGAAATACAACAACTAGAAACAAGAGTTTGCCAAAGGTTCCTAGGAAGGTCCTGCATATGCACCGACCAGCGTGGGGGGAATGCAGCCGCTATCTCGGCTTATATCTTGATTCAAAAGGTTTGTTGCATATTTCTGACAGTTAATGGGTTAAGAAACCGATTTCTGATCCAGCTAACTTTTCAGTATTGGCACAGATATTCGATAGCGGTGCATCCCTTTTCCTAACAGATAAAGAAATTTTGATTTGATTATATGCTATAGTTTAATACTATGTCTTCTGCCAAACAAGATCATTTCATTTTGGCTTTTACAACTGAAATCTATGGTTTCTACTTCTCAGGACGAACTCATTTAGTTTCATAATGACACAGCCTTTTCCACGTAGCTCGGTTTGGACTTGTCACAAAGAGTACAATGCATAAAGCAAAATGAATACCGCAAAGTAAACCTTTTTAAGTCTACCCGCTAAATCGATTCTCAAACAGCAAAAAATCATCCCCACTTCACCTCGGAGACACTCACTGACACCAGTTGTGTAAACCTTTGTCTCACTCAACAACGCTACTTTTCCTAAAGACTCTGAATGAGCAATCAACCTCCACGCGTCTGCCTGCATAATAGAGCCTACATCACCGCCGCAATGAATCAAAAAGCACTTAGGCTATGTTCACACCGACCACATCAGCGCCCAACACCCACTCACAGTTATAAGTACAGCGGGATGAGATAGATGCTGTCAGATTATAGCTGGCAGCAGCCACAATCTCAAATAACAAAATGAACTCAGACTGCAGTGGCTCTATAGAAACGCGTGTGCTTTTAGCCAGGTCGCTATTGATGTTTTGTGAACAGGTCCAAGCACCTGTGAATGGGAGCTGGTCAATGAGAGCTGTTTTTTCACTTTCCTCCAGCTAATTCAAAAGAGTATTTTGGATAAATCAGGCACTAAGGCCATTTTAACTTTCCATCAAAATATACCAAATAGTTATCCAGGCAAAGGAAAAGTATTATTTGATTGTTCATTTATTCAATAGATCCTGCTTTCTAAACCAATTTTTTACCATTTATTTTTGATGGTTTTGTATGAATGATTAAACGTTTATTTTTATTAAATTATTTGCATCAAAGTCTGACAGTTCCATTTGCTCAAGTTGTTTAGCAAGGGTTTATGGTGATGAAATTGATCCGAGAATTAATTGAAAAACAACTGTGCACGACCTCATTTATATTGTTCATTTTAAAATATGCTGAAGTACTAAATAAACCTGCTAATCGAAAATAATATCGACATAAATGTTTGGATTTTAGCAATGGAGAAAACCTTAAAATATGACATGAATAATGCTTTAGTATAAAAATATGTTTTAGTGTGCCAGCGCTAACTGAAGCCATCCCTGGGACTGAATCGAGCATTTCTTCCTGGCTGAAGTTTTTGCCATTCATTTGCGATACTTCATATTCTGTGGTCAAGATGGAGTGTGATTAAGTGTATGAAATGATTCTGGTTCTGGCAGGACAAATGTGAGTGGAGACGCACTTTTGCCAGTACCACATGTCTTTATAGTTTTACCAAACAAACAAATGGAATATTCTCACATATTTTCATTCACTCCATATGTTATGACATCAATTCCATCTGGTAAATAGGCTATTTTTCATTTGGACAAAATTCACCACATTTAATGAACATGTGAGAAGATGGTTGCATGAATACTGTAGAGAATGTTCCACACTTCAGACTATTTGTGTGTTAAATAAAAACATACACTTTTTAAAGGTGCACTATGTAAGCTGTCAGGCAGAGAGGCAGTCCACCACTTGCTTTGCTTGTTATATTTCATAGTACTGAATAAGAGATACAGGACTGCATTCATACCATACTCCATACAACTGTACAACAACTCACCTTATGTAACAGATAACCTTATGTCACGTCAATCACTATTTCATCTTTGCACTGTTTCTCCTTACACACCTCCTGTATATAACCCAGATATTACTATATTTCTATATTTTATTTTACTTGTACAGATACAATTGTGTAACCAAGCCTTATTTGACACCAGTCTTTTAATATTTTTCTTATTTAGAATTTATTATTACCATTTATATTTTTTGTCTTATCTTATATTTTATTGTGACGTGTGAGCTACAAAAGGCTTTAAATGTATCTTTATCCATCGAGACAAACAGGTGATGCCACAAGGCCAAGTTACAGGTCAGGTCTATGGAAAGGTAGCCAGGCTGGCAACACCTAGTGTCTCTAGTCAATTTCATTTCTCTCCAGTGACTAGGTCAGGAATCGGAATACATTAGACTGTTTGCAAGAACCTCGGAAGTTGTAGACCTCACACCGGCCAATCAGCGAAGAGCGATGAAGCCATGACGTCAAACTCAAGCGCCTGTCTGGGTTCCTTTTGTGGTACAGCACAACAGTAAACAAAGAGGTCGAGATGGATGTAGATCGAGAATTTAAAGCCGGAACAAAAAGAATGTTTGGTGAATTTTATCAAGGGGAAAGACCTTATTGCCCATCTTTCTACGGGATTTGACCAAATAGCAGTGATTGGTTAAAAGAAAAAGTACCCGCTACCATTGAGCGAACAAATCCTAATGCTGCGAGGTCAGACGGTTTCCACGAATTGAAACCGGCTGATGAATCAGGCTAGTGGAAAGGTGCACCCACTCACAGTAAGAATATATGTATTTCCAACACCTACAGTTATATACATACAGTAAAACATTTCAGACAAAGCAATAAAATCTCCATGGAGACAAGCAGATGACATACTCCCTACCAGAAAAGTAGTGACATAGTGCACCTTTACCAGATATATGCTTTTCTGTCTTTTTAGAATCCAGTATTTTTGAATACTATGGATCTTGCGTGGATGAGCTCGCACAGACCTGTCTAGTCTTTCCCTCACCTTCTGTATTATCATATGCCCACATCCTTCATCATTGTTTGACCAGAATAATCCAGCAATTGGCTTGGCTTGACAGCGGATTGAGATTAATTTGGCCCAGGCACTTGTAATTCTGCTGATTCCTGCTTAAGCGGATGGCAAGAGAGAGATATCGCACCATGGGGTAAAATAAAATTAGAAAGAAAGGAGGAATGTAACAAATTGTGCTTACCTATGACAGGCCTAACTAATAACCTCAGCGGCTCATAAATATTCAGGGAGACAGGTGGACTACAAAGTGAACGTTGTCTTGGTGCACAAATAGAGCATGACATTTGCGAGATGGATTTTACTACAGCTGTTTTCTCCGTTAGCAAAATCAGCACCCAAACTCAGACATGACCTTATTATTACAAGTACCAATTAGATGTCAATTAGTTTTCTTTGATGAAAAAGACTCAGTGCAGCAGAAAGAGCTCCTTTTCATTAGGCTGAGATTTTGCATTTGAATTCTGTTACCATGAAACATTCAGTTAAATCTACATCCATTCAGACACATTAGTTGTGCATTCAAATCATCAGTAGGTCCAAAGCTAAAAACATTAAAAAACAGAAACTTTTCAAAACACAGTGGGACACAATTGAGATGAAAAACTCCAGGGGATGTGGCATATGGTTGAATAAAAGATGCTTCAAATGTTGTGCACTTGCAAAATAGTTTTAAAACAACACAATTGAGGTGCAGGTAAAGAACAATGGCAAAATGAAAATGCAAACAAACTAAGGACAAAGAACACTATTTCGATATGTATTAGTTTTGATACTGATTAGATACTTTTCAAGTGGTACACTATCTGCTTTTATCCATAAAGAAGTGATGACTTTGTCTGGAATGTTCCACAGCATGGCATTAAACTGACCTATCTCCATGGTCACCTGAAGCCAAAGGGTCAAGTTATAGGTGAGATCTATGGAGAAGCGAGTTCTCACACAGCATGTATGCTTGTCTATTTTTATTGCAATCAAACATTTAGTGGGGAAATAAATGCTCAATAGAGGTGTTTAATTCCATACTGGTGGAAAATTTCAGGCAAAGCAATAACATCTCTTTGGAGATTTGCACATGGAAGACCTACCACCAGAAAGTTACATAGTGCATCTTTCAGTAAAAACAGTTTGAAGGACCCTCATCTGAGAACAGAAGTATTTTTTAGGGCTGCAGTTAACAAAAGAAATTATTGATCTATCAAAGACATGCAGATTGATTAGTGGCAAAAGCACTCAAAACTATTAAATATTTCTATGTATCTGATCCAAACTGCACTTACGGGACTATTTATGCAGAAAATGTAGGAGTAAACAATGTATTTATAAAGACAGATTAAATCTGACGTTTTTCTTATGAATACCAAAAAATACAAAATTTTCAGAGAACTCGCTCACTCACTAACTTCTCCTTTCTGCTGTTGTCCTATATAAATCTCTATAATCTAAATAAAAATATTAGTTGATTAAAACAATTTTTCATCAATTAAGACACAGGATAGACCAGAGACACACACACACACACACAGCCCCCCCTTTGCTCTTACCTTTGACGATGAGGTTGAGGATCTTTGGCCGTGGGTTGCGCTCACTCTGAACGGAGCATGTGTACTGTCCATCGTCAGCTACATCCACCTTCTGTATCTGCAGGCTGTACTCGTGCTTGTCACCCGGACTGGACACGATGGACACTCGAGGATCCACTGACCACTTATCACTTCCTGCGAATATGATGCTGGACCGGTTCAGCCAGGCTCCTTTAGAGATCCCATCTAACAGGTAGCACCTAAAATACAGAGAGGGATTTACAGTCAAAAAATTGTCTTATCTGGTGCAGCAGGTCAGGAGAAGATCCAAAATTAAAGGTGCATTGTGTATCTTTTCTGCTAGAGCTTTTATCTCTGTGGAGTTATTGCTTTATCTGTTTTATAGTATGGCATTAAACCTTTCTATATGCATGGAGACAAAAAACAGACTAATTTATAGGTCAGATCTGTGGAGAGGCAACCCTGCTCACAGTCAGATTACCTGTTTCTCTAGGTGATTTTGAGCTATAAAAACACCTGTAATTGAATCAATGTAAGGTAGAGCTGTTTAATGTCATACTGTGGAACATTCCACACAGAGCACTAACATCTCCACAGAAACAAGCAGGTGATGAATTAATCTCATTACTCAAACTTTATTAGATAATAATTTTAGAAAAACTACATTTTCAATTGCCATAATAAACATCTAAATCCAAATCCAGTTCATTTATATAGCACATTTTATAAACAAAACAGTTTCCAAAGTGCTACGCAGATAAAGATAGCAATAAAAAAACAAAAACAACAAGGGAGGGTATAAATGCCAATCCTAAAACACTAAAACCAGTAAAGCAAAATAAAAGCAAAACTCATAAAATAGGAAAACATGAAATAAAATAAATAAAATAAATAAAATAAAAATAAATAAAAGACACAGAGGGCCACATCAGTCACCTGATGTTAAAAGCCAGAGAATAAAAGTGTGTCTTAAGATGTTTTCACGTTTTATATGAACATATCTTGGATAATAAAACATGAACAAAAAATTAATTCAGTTTAGTCTAGTTCAAGTTTATTAATAATGAATCAGTTACTACATCAGTAATACCGTAACTTCTAACACTAAACCACTAATTACTAAGCCTGGATCATTTTTTTCATATTTGTCATTTCATATTTTTGTTTATGCTTTATTTCTGCTAATTAGGGTGTAGTTATTGTAAAGTGGTACCAAACTGTTTTATTTGGTATTTTCAGATTGAATTACTTCTGTCCTTGTTAACTCAAACTCTAAACGATAAGTTCCAGACTCACTGCACTAAAATAAGCAAAAACAAAGGAAAGTATTTGGATCACCAGTCTGCTAATTATTTCTACCATCTTGCTGAACAATATATAAAATATTTACACGTAAGATCACAAGTTTTTTTTTTTTCTCTGCCTGCAATGTGTCTGTGATTTTAATATTGCAATATGAGAAAATAAGCTGCTTTTGTCGCTGCGTGGGCGTCCTTCTTCTCTGATACTTCTTCCGGAAACATATGCAACTAGAAAATTACCAGCACTGGCTCCAACAGTCCAAACCCTTGCTGTATTCTTTATTCTCCAGTTGTAATTGTGCTAAGGAAATCACATCATAAACTGTGACAAACGCTGTAATAATGAGTGGGAAAAGAAGCAATCAAGTTTGGCTCTTTAGCTGTTGTCAACATGGAGCGCAAACTGCCAGCATCAGTACTGAAGCCACCGAGGAAATCAGTCTGGCACTAGCCACAAAGCTCCTTCCCCTGTTTGCCAAGAAAGTGCCCGTCAGCGCAAGCTCGCCAAGGACAATGGTCCTGAAGCACACAATGGAAATGAATGGGAAAAACAGGGAGGGGAATCTGTACGACCGGCCTTTAACTCAGCCCACTGCCCACCTGAGCTGAGCCCCGGAGGCTCTGTTTACTGCGGACGCCCAGAGCAGTTCAAAGAGCTTTTACAGTTTGTAGTAGAGCTGCACTGTTTAAGGATTGTGATTAGATTTGCAATAAATGTTTAAAAAGTAGGATTTTGTTGAGAGTGCACATCACAAACAATTTACATTTGAGAGACTGAAATATGAACTAATAAACTAATACAAGAATTCCATGCAATTCATGCCACATTTATAGAGATCTAAAAACTGAAGTCTTAGCCTTTTTTAATAGACAATATATGTTATTATTTACAGTGGACATTCTAATATCTAATTACAGTCTGATAATTATGCCAATGATTATTATTATTATGCCAGTGATAGTTAACTTGTCAAAGCTACAAGAATGGATTTTCATTTGATGACTGCTCTCACATTTGCTTGGTTATATTTACAAAATAAATCCAATATTTACCCACCCATCACAGTTTCACACAACAAGTATTTTGTCATTAAAAAAAAAATAAAAATAATAATAATAATAATAATGAAGTTTGGCTAACTTCAACAACCTGTGAAACACTATTATTAGACATCTTTAAACAAAAAGATCAAGAATTAACATTGCACAACACATGTTCATTTGACTGTGTATTTAATTTAACTTTTATACATGTTAGGCTTCATACAACTAAAGGCCCTGTTCCCGTTCTCATGTTTTTTCCATGTATTTCTTGGGCTTGTCTGCATCTAATAGTAAAACATTTTATTATACCATAATCAGAAAGTGCCTGTTAGCATGCTAACGTCCTGCTCTGATCTCTAGAAGTTGTGAAATGCGCTCATAAACTACTCACAGTGAATTACAGCACTAGAAATGCATAAGGTAAATGAGGAATAAATCAGGACTCCTGCAAACTGTAAAATGAGCTAGTTCTGTTTCACATGTTTTTAAGACATGAAGTAAACTCAGGTACAGCACTTTTAAGTGTTAAAGGAAGGTTGTACAGCTGGGATTCTCCAAGGTGATCCCCATTATGAAAGTAGGTTGTACACAGAACATTTTACTCATGACAAAAGCAGACTATAAAAAGGTATACTCTTTCTAGGCACAGCTGCAGTACCACTTGTTTTCTTGTTTACCATTTGTATCCTTGGTAAGTTCGTGGGACTCCTAATTTTGGCAATGCTGACCACAGCTTCTTCTCTCCATATAACACATAAGTTAAAACTTTTACAGTGGATAGATCTGGAAAAAGTTAGCAAAGAGAAAATAGAACAACATCTCTATAGTGATCAGAACATTTATATGTTTGTCTGTTTATGTCCCATTAACTTTACTTTATCATTCAGAAAGTGTGATTTCACAAAACTGGTCACATACTTCATGACTGGTAATAGATTAGAATGAATGAATTGAGTGAATTAAAGAGTTCAGCAATTTTTCATCATGGTGTCAATGATGATGAAAAATTGTAAAAAGATATATAAAACAAAAATTTTGTATAGTGCAAGCCCTAGCAGAGATTTTACTTTCCAAATTGTATTACCCTTAACTAAACGAGTGTGTTGCCAAATCCCAATAGTCACTTAACTCAAATCCTTTCTCATTTCCATGGAGCATAAAGGTCAATGGAGACTCTGCTAACCAACTGAGTTACTGCTAGTTCCACATTTTAACAATCTCAAACCTGTGTAACAACTGCACACACTTTTGGCATGAATATTATAAAAGTAAATGAAGCCATCACCTTGGTCACTGCGTGCCCTTGTCCAGTGCTTTAGTCAAAGCAGCATTAATCTCTTAACTCTGTAGGTGGGCTGGGATTTCATCAAGGTTGTTTCTCTCACAACCCACTAGGACTCTGCTGCCTGATGCCAACACAAAAGCTCCAACAGCCCCTCTGCATCAGACCAGCCGTAGGAGGTCTACAATAGCCAATAATGAATACATTTACCATGATAGGTGACCAGGGACAAAGCCTAAACATTATCTCAGGTATATAAACTGTATGGGCACAGCTAACCTGCAAGTCGCTGCATTCTCAATAGGAAGTGAGCGCTTCTAGGGGTGATCCCAGTGCAATACAGATGCTGGTATCGAATATCAGAGCCAATCCAATAACTTACAGCCTCTGTGAGCTTTATTTGACTGGAGCCGAACACTTAGTCTACTTACAGTCTATGTTTAGGTCTTATTTTAAAGAGTTTATTTGAAATTGCTAAATGCCAACAACTGCAATTATGTATCTAAAATTATAAAATGTAAAAATAATGAATATATTATGGTGACAGGCCTACTTCAGAGCACAAACAGCTCAAATAAAAGGGAAAAAAGTGTGTCTCAACATCCATCTGGATACTGGAGATGACTAAAGCAGCAGTTGTTGATGACTCATCTAAATAGAAAAAAAAAAAAAAAAACTAAATTAAAAAGACCACAATAGACTAAATATTGAGGGTTGCTATGATTGAATGTGATACAAGCTTACAACATGGCTGTACAGAAGAAATAACAATGAATATGTTTCAAATAAAATATTGGTTTAATGGCTAGTATTAACAAGTGGTCTTTCTGACACTAAAGTCACAAATCTACAACATTTTCTGAGAAGTTAACAGTATTTTTGAGTTCAGAGAGTGTTATGTAATAGGACGTTGATGTATTTCAAATTGCACGATCTATTATCCACATATCCATGAATCAACTGCTCTGAGCCTTCCCCTCGTATAACACAATAACATCAAAATAGCTGATCCATTGATTTCACTGTCTGTGTCAAGATCAGGGCAAAGCTGGAAAAAAATAGGTCACAATTTCAAAGTTAAGACACAAGTTTGCTAACATCTTTACACCAAAGTCATTTACCCAGACTTTGGACCACTAGAAGAATCCACAGCGGATATTTGTTAGAGACTAATATAAAGTTATGTTCCATCAGGGGCAGTGCCAGTGTTCAAATGACAACCACAGTGTTCAAAATGAGGGTACAATAAAACAAAGAGTTCCACATGGGTTTAAATCACTATAAAGTGCTGACTTCATTGAAACTTGTTTATTACAGTCGGGTAAACATGGAAAAGTATGAGGGGTCTACTGTTAAAGGTCCTATATCATGCAAAATTTACTCTTGTGAGCTTTTTTTCCATATAAAAATGTTACCTCCTCAAAAACATACCCAAAGTTGTGTTTTTTTTTCATTCACGCAGATTTGAGTAACCATTTATTATTAGACAGTCTACATCTCCAAAGCTCAAAATGCTCTTTTCCACGATGTTGTCATGTACAAGTACTTTTCAAGTTAATAGCCACTTTTTGCGTTTAGTTCAGTAGACAAGTTTCAGGGAATCATCCAAATG